TCATTGGAAATAGGAACTCTCAGTGGCTTAACTCCTAATAGCACGAAGTTCTTAGAGAGGAGCTGGAAGGATCCCCTGGGGTTCTAAGTCTTAATTTTTAGCTTACAAAAGTAGCCAAGTGTGTTTTCTGAGCCTGCACTCCTTGATGTATTAGAGACACCATGGGGATAGATAAGACACTGGACAATAGATTGAGACCTGAAATCTAAATTCTGGTGTGTCACTTACTAAGTTATTTTTATGACTATGGACTTGATATCCACTTTGTCTCCATGGACATAATTCAGTGAACTAATAGTTATTGAGCATTTACTCTGTGTGAGAGATGACTGGAGATAGTATGTCCAGTTTTATTGGCTACATGTTTTCATTTGCTGTTGAATTAGCCTTTTCCTGCAGTATTTTTGATCGGTAGTAACTCTGGGCAGGTGAGAGAAATTACAGTGTGACTGGAAAGTGTATACTCTAAAGAGGCTTTTATTTTTGTGTAGGGAAAACCTTTCTAGTCATAGCAAAAATCTGGTGATTTAATTTAAGAGCCACAAAATCAGTACTATTTTCTAAATTGTGTAATTCACATTGCTATTAATTTACTAAGTAGAAACCCCTAAATCCTAGTAGTTGTACCTAAGTAATATAATAATGACTATGTTATTTCAGAATTTTCATTTTTTAGCAAAGTATGATTTAACTTGTCCTCATTTGAAGTATATCCAATAGTAACTATTTTTCATATTTTAACCAAAGTAAAAGAGACTAAAATATTTCAACATTGTGATGGTGCCTTTAACTGAATTAGTAACTATTCGTTTTTAGGGATTGCTGCTTTCCTCTATATACCATCTTGGTTAGAGGCTTATTGATTCAAGTATATAGTCACCAATACTGATTTATAAGATAGTAAGAACAAATACAACTTTCAGTTCTGTTGAGACAGAGCCATTCTTAGGAACTAGTGTAAAAAGAAATGCCTCAGTGTTTTAAAAAAAAATGGAAGAAAAGAAAAGGGAAACTGAATTCAGAAGAATCCTGTATCTTAAGTCTTTATTTCTTGGTTAAATATTCTACAGTGATAGCTTTGCTGATGAGATACAATTACAAAAGTGTTACATAATATTGTTAGCTTATAAGGGTCGTGATTGAACCATCCTGCAACACTAAATGCACCCCCCAAAAAAGCGCATTTATCCAGTGTGAAATAATGTCTCTTGAGATTATGAGGATAAATGAGAAGTATGTTAAAATTAATTTTGAGCATATACCATCTCATTTAACCTCCTAGGGTCTCTGAGAAGGAAGGGCAGGTTTGCAGGGAGAGGTTGTATAGCGTGGTAACTTTTGTCTCAATTTTGAGTTAACAAATTGAAGTTAAATCACGCAGTGAGTTCATAGCAGAACTTTCATTGGAGCAAAATTATATTGTAAATCTCTCTATCCAAAGCTCTTTCATCAGAACATACTGTTTTAAGTTATTTTGACAGATTCACCTTATATTTCTAAAGCTAATAATTATCATCATTATTGCAAGGAGCTAGAGTGTATCTATTGATGACTCCGATTTCTAAGAAGTCCCTATGTACAGAACTCTGACTTTATAAACATAATCTATGGAGTTTACAATTTACTTTGCTCTTCACAGTTATTCTTTGCAAAATGAACTCCCATTGAATAATGTAAAAAAAAATTTACTTAGCAATTCATAAACAATAATATTTTTCAAGATTTAACTTAAATATACTTTAACCTTTCTGCACAAATACCAAATATTACTATACCATATATACAAATAACTACTATAGTAATTTGTATGTGATTTTTTTTATTCTACTGTATGCCATTGCATATATTGGATGCTTAATAAATATTTCTTGGATGAACTAAAGTTTACCTGTAACTTGGTCAGTTAGTGACACTCAAGGCAACAGAAGGGCCTTGTGGGGGTATTTTCTATCTGTACTCCCTGATTTTCAACTCCCCAGTAAGAAAGTACTTCCTAGTACACCTCCTTCTGATGGAGTGTATCGTAACCTTAATGGCAGGGTGGGGGAGGGGGTAAGTGGAAGAAATGCCAAGAAAGGGGAGGGAAGGAAAGATTGACAATTCCGATATAAAACAAAATAACATGCCTGCATTCTTGCATAACTGGTAGAGAGGTATATAGGAGAGAGTGCATTAGGCATACTAGAAGCAATTGAAAACATATCTTAATCAGAAATAACTACCCTGTTAAAGTGGTAGCATCATTAAAGAAAAGCTTCTTTTAGTAATGAGATCCTTCTATATATTCTTGTTCATGAGACACACCTTTAAGCCTTTTGTAGACATAACTGGATCAGTGATAACTGACAAAGGCTATTTGGTAAGAAATTTTAAAATTACACCATGGCTCTGTTTCCCTTTTATAGACTCACGTAAATCTTATATTTTTTGCTGCTCTGTAACAATGGTGGATAACAAAGACTTAGCTCAGATTAGGGGTTTCCTGTAAGGTATCTTTTCATCAGAATAAATTCCTGTCTATCTCAAAGGCAACAGGAGTTGTTGCTTCATTAAAAAAGAAAATCGTCTCCATTTACCTTAGAAATATCTACTAGTTTTTTTCCAGATATTTATTCTGGTGAGCCTAATCTTGTGTAAGGAACATAAATACCTTTCATGTATCTCACTGTCTTCTGCCTTTTTCTGGATCGTCTATGAACAAGATCCTTTTCCAAACTTTTAAACATTATTTTGGCAAAAGATTGGGCTGTGGCTCTGAGCCTTTTCAGGGTTTTATTTACTGTTATCGTTCTAGTCATTTGTTTTCTCTTATCACTCTTGGAGTCTTCCACTAATTTTCTTACATGTGTAGACTTTTCTCATTTCAGAACCAAGCATAATGGATTTTTCTCTTTCTTTGTGGTATCTGTGACATAACAGAAAAAATAATATATTCTTTGTGAATCAAGCCTCTTTTACAAACTGCTCTTCCTTTTATTAGTCTCAGCTCTTGTACTCAAAGCATTAGGTTCTAATTAAACCCTTCTCTTAAAACACAATAGATGTGCTTTTCTTAAATGCAGATGCAAGTCTTCTTTTAAATAGAAAATCTATAGCTTCCAGACTAAAGGTCAAATATTCTAACTATTATGTGTTCCCTCACTCTATTTTTCTTTAAAAAAAAAAAAAGAAGAAGAAGAAGAAGAAGAAAATTAAAGTAAGATGTAATAATGGGGAAACTGTGTCTCATTGTATGAGAGCTCTTTATGCTATCTTTGCAACATCTCAGTATATCTAAAAACTCTTCTCAAATAAAAGCTTATTGAAAAATATTTGAAGGACATTTTCTTTTTCATTCATGTGAATTTTAGAGGAACTTAGGTGCTCCAATTCTCACAAATCATGAAAAATCTTGAAAAACTGAGTCAGTGATAAAGCTTTGGATCAGTCTGAGAACGTTGTTTATTCCCGGATCTTTGTATAATATTGTACAGAAATTCAGTGATATAGATTGCCGATTCCCACGAGACATCACACACGCCTGTTCCTCTCAGGTCGCTATGACTGTAGCACCAAGCATGGGAATGCTTATTGCTTCCACAGAGTCCGCAACACTTATACTTGGCTGTGGAAACAATATTAACTAATTCTTGCTGAATTTTATCAGGCACTCTCAGATTCATAAAGACTCTTAACTCTTCCTGAGGTTCTTGATGGTATCATTTCTGCTTTAATGTAAAAAAAAAGAATAGCTTTCTGTGACACATTTGAATATGAAATGTACACCTTCTGTACATCACTATTTTGTATTTCCTTTTCTCAGCTTTTCCTTTGGAATCATTTTATAGCCTCACCATTTTAGCTTTTGTTTCTAGGGCTTTACTTGACAAAACAGGTGATATCTCTGGAAAATAGTTCTAGATTTGGGGTTTGGTAACTGCTTTATTCAAGACCCATATAAATTGAGAACTGCTTACCTTGTCTCTTACTACGTGGGATAAAAACTTCTGTTTCTAGAGGTAACCATCCTCTCATCCCTTGCAGACAAAAAAGCTTGGAAAATCTCTCAGACTAAAAAGTCCTTGTCAAAACATACTGTTATATGAAGAACTAATATGCCTAGGGATATTTAGCAATAACTCATACAAATTAGAGCAGACTTAACTTCAGAAAAGAGAAAATGAAACTCTCATATTGGCTAACTATTTGCTGCCTATGGCAAAGTATATAATTAGAAAAATGGATCTCGCAATTAAAATTTGACATAAAACATTCTCAGGGTAGCCAGTATAGAATGTACTTTACATTCAGTTATGAACATTACTGGTAGCTTTCATCAAGGTTGGTTTTTAAAAAGATCCATGCTGATATTTAATAATTGTTAAGTTCAGATATCCCTTTACTCATTGGCTTTTACTTCTTAATGAAAAAGTAGATTTTGTTTGTAACATATAGAATTCTGTAGATTGATGGAATTAATAGATACATTAGTTTTTCCTTTAGATAATTTGAGTTTAATCATGGAAAGTAAACTCAATGCTGAAGTACTCCTAGAATAAATGAACTATTTTACTTCTTTCACAAAGATTTTAATGTCGGCAAGACAGTTGAGAGGTGATCACACTTGGATTTTCTGAATAATAGAGAAGCAAAATTGGGATATCCCCTTCGAGTCTCCTCCCACTGTGGGAGCTTTTCTGTCCTCTCAATAAATCCTGCTTTCTCACTTAAAAAAAAAAGGAGGCAAAATAATTTTTTAAATGTAAATGCTTAATTTCACATTTGTTCAGTGATATTTCCAAGTAACTGTTCTTCTTTTTCACGGCCATCTCCCTAAATATGCACGTTAAATTTTCATTGGGTTTTTCGAAATCAAATCCTTAAAATTGGACTCTGTTTAGTAAGAAATATACTGGATCAGCCCTGGCTATTATATGATATTTGATACTTGTGACCTATAAAGAGAAGTTGACCTCTTAGTACAGCTTATCTTTACTTTTGTTTCTCTTCCTCCCTGAAAGAATCCCAAGGACTGCAGCAAAGCCAAAAAGCTGGCGTGTAATATCAACAAAGGCTGTGGCTATGGCTGTCAACTCCATCATGTGGTCTACTGCTTCATGATTGCATATGGCACCCAGAGAACACTCATCTTGGAATCTCAGAACTGGCGCTATGCAACTGGTGGATGGGAGACTGTGTTTAGACCTGTAAGTGAGACATGCACAGACAGATCTGGCATCTCTACTGGACACTGGTCAGGTAAGGAGCCTGTGCAACATGTCAGACCTCTTGGTTGAACCACAGCATCTCCAATTATTAGATTTCTAGGTACAACTTAGTGAACCAAACTCATCTTTTCTTCTGGATCCATGAATGCTATAGGTTATCCAGATAAAATCTAGAAGAACAGTGTTTAGTTTAAAAGGTATGTTATGATCTATTCCATTACTGATATTCATTTTTGTCTGGATTTAGCAAAATTACTGAGGTTTTTCAAGGAGCATATTTTAATGTTCTATTAATGGTGATATACCTCTCACTTCTTAGGGTGTTTTCACATTACTGAACTTATTTGATCCTCATAATCATCATATAAAGTAGACCAGTGGTCTTCAAACATTAGCATGCATGAGACTCACCTGGAAGGCTTGTTAAGACCAGTTTCTGATTCAGAAGTTCTTGGGTAGAGCCTGAAAATTTGCATTTCTGGCAAAATATTTGGGTTTAGGGAGCACACTTTGAGAACCACTAAGGTAGACTTTGCCAGTAACTTTATTTCATTTTGCTATTAAGGACAATGAAACCTAATTTGTTTATGTGATTTTAACTGTATTCAGGAAACATTTGATGAAGAGTACTATGACTAAAGGTACTATGCTAGGTCTTATAAGGAGATGGAAAGACCAGTAAAGAATTGCCTTTTTAAGCCGGGCTTGGTGGCTCAGCCTGTAATCCCGCACCTTTGGGAGGCAGGTGAGTGGATTGCCTGAGCCCGCGGGTTCGAGACCCGCCTGGGCAGCGAGACCTCATCTCTACAATAAATCAAAAAAAAATCAGCTGGACGTGGTAGCGCATGCCTGTAATTCCGACTACTTGGAAGGCTGAGGTGGAAGGATCGCCAGAGCCCAGCAGGTCGAGGCTGCGGTGGCTGGGAGCGGCCACTGCACTCCAGTCTGGGCAACAGAGTGAGACTCCAACTAAAAAAAAAAAAAAAAAAAAAAAGAATTGCCTTTTCCTCCAAGGAAGTGGTAAAAGAGGGAGTAGAACATAGATAGAGATTCCTACCTCGTCTAGTGCTCATCTTTCCATGTCATAATCTTTAAATAAGATCTACGGATGAGCTAACTTTGTTAAAATGCTGGCTTTGTCATTTTGTAATCTTGGGCAAGTTACTTAATCTAGGCCTTAGTTGTCTGATCAATAAAATGAAGAGTAGTAATTTACCTACCTCACTGAATTGTTGGTAGATTAAATGAAATAATATATGTAATGCACTTAGCACAGTACCTGATACATGAACTCTAGTAATTGTTAGCTACTATCAGTAGCCTTTATTCACTGAGCAAATACATAATGAGTGTCTATAGTGTGGCAGATACTAAATTAAGTGAGTAGGATAAATGCTAAGTATGACAATGCACTGTCTCTGCACTCTCATCTGGTGAAAGGTTTAACTAACACTTTTCAAAAAGCTGAGGCGTTTCAGTTAATATCATTTATTATGAGGCTGAGCACGTTTCTTCACAAGTTACAACACTAGATAAGAGACTAGATAGGAACAGGGGGCGGTATCATTGGCCAAGTAGCTTTTGTTTCTCCATTTCTTTTGCCTCTCTTTGAAAAAATTAGGTAATATCTGACTCTTTGCAGAAGTGTTATGAAATCTAATTGGGTACTTTCTATAAAATACCTTGAGTTACACTATAAAAGTTCCTTTATGGATTAAAAGTATTATCTTACAATGTGATTTTTTTTTCTTGCATAAGATGATTTAGAAGGCTTATAGCAGCATATTTTTTTATTTGTAGCTCACTTTGTATTATTTATTTATTTATTTATTTATTTGAATCGGAGTCTCACTCTGTCACCTAGGCTGGAATGCAGTGGCATGCTCACAGCCACCTTAGCCTCAACCTGTTGGGCTCAGACGATCCTTCCACCTCAGCCTTCCAATTAGCTGGAACTACAGGCACGTGCTATCACACCTGGCTAATTTTTTGATTTATTGTAGAGACGAGGTCTTGCCATGTTGCTCAGGCTGGTCTTGAACTCCTGGGCTCATGCGTTCCTCTCACCTCAGCCTCTCAAAGTGCTGGGATTACAGTCTTGAGCCTCTGCGCCCAGCCCTCACTTCATATTTTAAAGTGAACCTTTTAATCTAGAATCTAAGCTTTAGTTTTAAGGTTACATCTTCCACTGATCTGGTCTAGTTTACAGCTAGTGCCAACAGATTCATTATAAAGGTTAGAAAGAAACTAAATTTGTCAGTCAAGAAGAGCAACCCTGCTAGACTCACTGTGACTAACTTTTATCATTTCATGAACTCAGTTCAGCTTAAACTTTTTTGATTGTAGAAAAGTATAGCCAGAATTGGCCAGGTTCCTTTGTTTCACTAGTTCTAGGGAGAGACAACTTTTTGACTGATAGTTGATTGGAAAATGAAAGGTTGGCCTCACTAGACCTAACAGATTTAGTATGGGCCCTGCCTATACTATAAGTAGTTATTTGGTTTGTTTGTTTGATTTTCAGTTCTCCATTGTATATTTTGTAGTCTGTAGTAGCAGTCACAGGATATGAAAACTTAAAATGGCTTAAATGTCAAACATTCAGAATTTCTTAATGTTACAATGAAACAGGATCGAGAAGTCATCCTTTCTTTATTCCTTTGGAATCGAAGGTCTGATAAAGGCAAAGTGATTTATCCAGTGTCATACAGCTTATAAGTGCCAGGACTCTGTCAGCACATTCACTTCTGCCTGCCTCCACTCAAGGTCCTTCCCAGTAGGCTATGCGAGACTCCTTAGCTAGCAGAATAGTAATTAGAGGCACAGGAGCTGCCTGGAGTATCTAGAAACTAAATAAAATAATTTTAATAATTTAGATATGAACTTTATGCCTGAAAGAAGAGATTTATGTTTGAACTTAGTATATTTTTGTTTTCGTGAAGAATATTATTGCCATCTATTTCTGTTTATATACATTATCTGTATATGTACCTTTTAGAGAAACTATTGAACATGTGTGTAAGAATTAGAGGAAACACAATGAATTCTAATAAGCTCCTTAACATTAGTTAGATGTAAATCACCTATCTTTGTTATTGTTCTGACTTATATAGAGAATCCTGGGATATTTCTCTTGGCACCACTGCCATGAAATTATTATTGTCCATACACACTTGACATGATGTACCTAGAGGTGGAATTTAGTGATTCCTGTTCAAATCTGTCACCAATACAGGAATTAGTATGTGCATTGGATTATTTCGTAGCTGCATTATACCTTGTTACAAGTTGACTTCTGTTTTTCTCCTGCATTATTTTAGTTTGTGTAGGAAACCATATCCTTTGCATTAAGTAACTTGGTTAAGTGAAGGAAAATATTGAAGATTATGCTTCCAGTAAAAAATGCTTTTTGAACACCAGTAGCTGTCAGGTCTATTCTTGATTTCTTGTAGAGACAGGGTCTCGCTACATTGCCCAGACTGGTTTCAGACTCTTGGCCTCCAAAGCAATCCTTCCACCTCGGCCTCCCAAAGTGCTGGGATTACAGGCGTGAGGTACGGCATCTGGCCAAGATGTCATGTCTATTCTTAATAGTTCTGTCTTCTAAAGTTGGTGATACAATGATCAACTTAGTTTTCTATGCCACAGGATATTTCCTAACCCTGAAGTAACTAAACATAGTAGGCCTGATTCTTCCACATAGATTCCTTATGATAATTCAGGAAGGGAATCTTACCTCTGTGTTTAATAGTTTGAAGCATCTTTCAATAATTATTGATTTGTTTTTGTTGTTATTGAGTCAGAGTATCATTCTGCTACCCAGGCAGAGTGCAGTGGCATGGTCACAGCTCACCACAGCCGTAGCTTCCTGGGTTCAGACGATCCTTCCTCTTTAGCCTCCTGAGTAACTGGGACTACAGGCACACACCACCAACCCTGGCTTATTTGTTGTTGTTGTTGTTGCTGTTGTAGCGACAAGGTTTTGCTATGTTGCCCAGGCTGGTCTCTAATTCCTTATCTCAAGTGATTCTCCTACCTCGGCCTCCCAAAGTGCTGGGATTATAGGTGTGAGCCACTGACTGGCCATTATTTGTTGTTGCTGTTGTTTTTGAGTTAGAGTCTCACTCTGTCACCCAGGCTGGAGTGCAGTGGCACACTCACAGCCACCCCAGCATTGACCTGCTGGGCTTCAGCGATCCTTCCATCTCAGTCTTCTGAGTAGCCGAACTACAGGCATGCGCTCCCACGCCAGGCTAATTATATATATATAGTAGAGACATGGTCTCCCCAAGTTGCCCAGGCTGGTCTCGGACCCCTGGACTCAGACAATTCTCTTGCCTTGCCTTCCCAAAGTCCTGGGATTACAGGCTTGAGCCACCGCATCTGTCCTGTTTTTTTAAAAAGATATTGACTGTTTTAGGATATGTATAATTACTAGCTTTCAAAATACTGTTCTAGTTGATATAAATACCACTGAATAGATGCTGTCGTGATTGAGAACCCTATTTAAATTCAATTCTCCACTTTAGTTTCTTCCCTTGTAAAAATTAAAAATGTGTTCAGATTACCAGTTAAACTACTTTGGTTGTTTTGTCTTTCTTTCTTTTGTCTCGTACCCACATAATAAATTGAACTGAGTTTCTTTAGATGATAAACTTAATTGGAAAACTTTATTCGTAAATGAAAAGTTTGACTAGTAGGAAATAGTGTCTGTAAATATGACACCTCCCTAGAGGGAGATGCCTGGTTTAAGTACATGTTCAGGTAGATGGCCATTTGCTGTATTTATTTATCTCAACTGGATGGTCACCGTCTCCCCATGCCTCCTGTCAAAAAGGTTTTGGTCAGAGAGTTTTTTGTGACATCCTTAACGTTTATGTGGAGGCAACCTTAAAATAGAAGTAATTTAACGAAAGCACTTGCTGTGTGCCAGGCCCATACTGGGCAACGCAAGGCACCATCTCTCCCCATCAGGACCTCTGGGGAGGAGGCAGGCAGCCAAATAAGCAATGAAAGTGCATTGTGCCAGTGTGGTGTATGGGAAAGTTAGAGTACTCTGAAGCACATCTCTCACACATATGGCGTTCTTTGGGAAGAAGTGATTTTTAAGCTGGGCCCTAAAGTATGAGTAGGAGCCAGCCAGGGACATGGTGGAAGAATTTGCTGTCATGGGCACAACATGTGAAAAAAGAGGCAAGAGAGCATGGCGTTGCTGGGGAACTAGAAGCTCTCTACTGTGCAGTTTGAATATTGAGACACCAGCTAGTATTTTGTTCTATTTTTTTTTTTCAGGACAGTATCTGTTCCAATAATGTTTCATTTTAAAAATAAATG